CAGAATTAGTTCGGCTGTTTAAAAACATCCGCGAAGTCAGCTAAATCTTAGCTCATCTTAGCCCACCAGCTGCGGATGCTTGATAACGTCACAAGCATTCCTCTTGTCTCTGGGCGAGCTCGAACAGAATGAGCGGCGCTTCTCAGTGTCGCCATATTGGGATAAGCCGGGGGCATTGGTGCTCGGCGCAGCGCCATCGGCGTCGCCTCACCGCCGGTCGATCGTGACGCAGATCTCGCCCTCGACAGTGTACGGGCCGGTGGTCACCGAATAACGACTTTCAGCACGGCTGATGTCTTTGTAGCCGCGAGCAAAGCGTGATCGCGCAGGCGCGGCTTCCAAGCTGGCTTTCGGGACAAGAGCGACGCTCAATTTGGTCGGGATATTAGTAGTTTTGGTATAGAGCAATATTACTCTATACAGGGTATCTGAGCACAGCAGTTATCAAGTTATTTAACTGTCGTAAGTCTTCCTGGTCTAGCTGGTCAGTCTAGCTGGTTTGCTTGGTTTTCGCTATGGATCATTGCACCTTACGGGCGGGCGTTCACTTCTTGGACGCTTAGGAGAAGATGCCCGCGAATGCCCCAGCTGACGCCGAATTAATTTTCGGCTTCTCTGAAATTGCAGCTGGTGTTGCTGCGCTCGTATGCTCATCCCGAGATCCTCTAAAGCCTCTTAGCCTCTGATCCGTGGTGGGGCCTCAAGATGGCCTTGATCGATTCAGCATACCCCGCAGAGACCACCGAATGCCGGCGGAGAAACGGAGATCCGACATTGAGCTGGGAGAGATTCCCCGCTCTGGACTGCACCATATGGAATGTGATCGTACACCTCTGCCCAAATCCGCTGACACATACGGATACATTTCGATGGAGTTAGAAACCAGTTTGTATCAGGGTTTGCCCGGGTTACAGTAAACGTGCATTGAACAACGCTGCAAATGCAAATCTCAACCACAACTTAAGGGAGACCGTGTGATAAGATCGCTTCTTGCACGCGTATGGATGTACTCTCACGCACATCATGTAAGTTTATCATACACGCAGCCACAGTATGCACCTAACAATTGCCAAGAGATTGAATTAAGCCAGCGTAAGATGCTACGGCAATGTTGCGGGACGGCATGGGATAATGACATCTGTCGCCGGGGGCCATGGTCGAAGGAGAATACGGCAGCGAACAAAGACGGCGTGCCTCACAACTTTATACAGTAATTACTATACGCTAGGCAACACCGTGGCGAGTGGTTCACTTTGCTTCCGAAGGATGTCGGTTGGGAAAGCATTTTGAAATTGCTCAAATATGAAATCAGTGCTGTGCTTGCACCTAAGATGGATATGTCTTACAACGTCGCTGTCATGGAGCACATCACCGGCTTGGAAGACATAACTATAGTGGCTGTCAATCGGCCGCCCATGCCGAAAATGTAAATGATATTTTGAAAAACCAACACATTTGGTTCCCTTATGTGCCTGCGTTACCAGGAAATATGTGTCAAAATACGTTATCTGGACACCTTAGCTGTATTGACGAAACTGTGTTGCGTTTGTCAATATGCCGAATGCTTCCTTGATAAAGGGTCGCTTTATCATTGCCACCCGGTATAATGAAGATCCATGTTGTCGGAACGAGATCTTATGGCCAGAACAAGATCTCATGGCTCGTAATACCAAAAACCAGGAGCTCAAAGCCTTTCTCGCTAATACCAAGCCCCTTATTTCACACGGTTAGAACTGCGACAAAGCCTACGCCCAGGACAGAGGAAGCGGAGTGCAAGCGCGAGCGCGGCCGACGCGGCGCGGCCGGCGGCTAGCTGGCGCCTCACGAGTTCGTTTCTCGGACGCCGCCGCTCGTTTGTCTCGCCGGCAGGCGGCCGTCTTCACCTGTGACGTCACGCGCTGCTGATCGTCGCGGAATGGCCCGCTATTCACGCTCGGCCTGGCAGCCGTATGGTGTCCAGCACACGCCGTTTGCGCGCTCCACCTGAGCCGGCGGCGGGCCGGTCACGGCAGCAAGCGTGCCGTCTGACGTCTTCACGCGACGAGGGTAATCACCACATGACGTCATCACTTGCAGCGCGATAAAGAGGCCGTCGTATGCAGACAGCGACATGGCTGGCTGGCCCGCGGCCCGGCCGGGCGTTACATCAGCCAGCGTCGGAAACGGCCGTTCCCAGGTCCGCGGCCGCCGGCCCCCTCCATTCACCTCCAGTCGACCAGAAATATACGGCCGTGTACATGACGGCGGGATCCGAGCGGCGCAAACATTTATGATCGAGCTTGGTTCGCGCCGCTTGACGACCGGACCATGCAGAGCAGAGGGCAGTATTTAGCCGACACGTAGCGAGGGAAAAATGTGCGGGCATAAATCATTGTTGATGATTTATTTAACTTTTAGGGCGCCGGAATTGATAGGGGTGTAAAACTGTTAGTGACCCGACTCTCACTCGGCACCGCTTAAGTGAGGAAGACAGTCGTCAGATGTGGAGAGCATCCTTAAACCCTGATGTGGCACTAAGGAACAGCATTACTCCGAGCTTCATGAAACAAAATTACCGTTCATTTACATAATCACCTCCATGCTATCAGCTAAACCAATTTCTTAGCCAAATCATGAGGTAAGGGACGGATCCAATTAGCACTGCAAATCTGGTTCGGGGGCGCTAAATGCTTGCCGGTTTCGCCGCGAGCAACCCAACGCGATGCCAGCCCAGCTGAGCATCACGAAGCTCACTAAAGTGCTCGTCGCGTTTGAAAGTTACCACTGTTTGGCTCGCAACTACCGCTCTTCGCCGCGTCACGGCCAGTGGCATCGCGGCGCCAGTGTAGGGAGACACCCTGGCAACAGCGGGACCGGAGGCGGTGCGGGACCGGAGGGCGGCGGACCGCCCCGCCGGCCGGCGGCGGCCCGTCTGCCTGCTCGGGACGGAGGCCAACCCACCCGCTGAGCTGTCCCTGGGGGCGGGGAACGACAGCCCTGGCACCGGTGCTGGGATTTCCGCGCACCTGTCCCCCAGCCCCGTCCCAGCTGACGGTGGGGAGGGGGAGGGGGTCGCGGCCGACGTGACCTGCTTCGCCGCCTATTCCGCTCCCATCTGGGTTCGCGGCTGGACCGCCTGGCCCGGACTGCGATTTCGTCAGTTCCCGTAAGGACTGCACGGTCACTGCCCTGGGCAGCGGACCAGGGCTCCTGCAGACATGGGAGGGTGGCGGGGGGGGGGGGGGGGCGGGGAGGGGCGCGCACTCTGAGTCACTGGGGGTGTGACTAACGCGCACGTCCCGCACACAGGGAATCCCGATACCCTTAGCAGGTCTGTCATCGCCAACTCGACGCTCATGGGCGCGGGTCAGTCGTACATAAATTTCTCGAAATGGTTCGCAGCCTCTGCTGCGGCGGAGTGGATGACAGCGATGTGTTCTTGAGCTTCTTTGACGTGCTACGGAAATCAACTCCCCCTAGGAATGCCAGTGATTATACTATCGGAGTGTTACCGATCGAAGCACGGGCGAGCGACATATCTTGAATTATTTATTTTTACATGTCTGGGCAAAGATACTTGTTAAATAACGATGATCCTATCGCTTCGTTACACTTTACACTACGGTCGTAATTGTCAGAAAAACGTGTCATTATTTGGTCACGCGTATGTGATATCAGTGCCCCAGCAAGAGAACGATTCTGATGTTGTATGTATGTCGCACGTAGGCAGTTGCACGAGCAGGAGCGTGGGTGTGCTGAGCACATTCCTTCTTCTCGGTGACTGTCCACGGCGCCGCTGAGGAGACGGAGCTACATACCGGCTCGCGATACAGATGGTTTTTCCGTCCGCTTATGCGTTAAAGGAATGTTTCATCTCGTTGGGTATTCAATAATGATCCAGACCTGGGCCAGACGTCACTTAGCTAGCACGCTGGTGGTGGCTGTGCCATCTAATGGCGTAAGGCAGCGTGGGTGTGAGCACAAATTTCGTAAAAATTCCACCCATGCCGCCACATGATGTCATATTGTCTGCGATAAGGTGGCGCCTCACTGTGATTTTGCTGACTTCATTCGATACACGGCTGCGATTTGCTTATGGCGTTAGTAATGTTTACCAAATCCGCCATCTTTGTAAACAAAATCAGAGAGTGACGTATTAAACTAAGTCATTCTCAGAAACCAACCCGGAATCCCGCCTTGAGAGAAGTATTGCTGTTTTGTGTATCGTCGTCCGTGGTGACGTTCTTTCCGAAATACGGTTAAAAAAAACGTTCTTAAGCCGGATGGTTGGCCTTTTTATGCCAGACATGGCGCATTTTGTGGCCCTCGTATTCACGCGTACCTCATGAGATCGTACCACCTGACATTACCGCTGTTCAGCATTCCGTTTACCAGGGAGTAGCAAGGAGAAAGGTGAGACCTGGTCATAGCCTGCTGACTTTCCTGAATAGTTTAACATCATCTCCATGGTAATGGACCAAAAGAATTAACTGAAAAAGACGGTTTCTCCCACACACCTTTCGAGATGGTTGCCTTTAAATAAAAACGAAACTTTTCCGCTGACTCCAGAGTTCGTTGTCTGCCAATGGGTGCAACATGGGCAGTTCATGACCCGCGTAGGCCTCGTTCGAGCGCTGTGACGGCTGTAGATCCTCCCTGAGGCGGCTTCCGAGTCGGAGCGCACCGAACATCGCGACACACGCGTGGTAGGACAGCGATACGCACGATCGAGGAGATCTCGTTAGGCTGCTAACGAAAGCCATTAGACGTCCAAAAACTGCCCGTCTCGCGGGCTGGCGGGCCCGACCGACGACGATTCCAATTATTGGTAATGGGCGCGGCGTCCCAGCGCGCTGCAGCGCCTGCTCGTCGTCTCGGCCGCGGCGCCTTCGTCGGCGGCTGGCAGCTTGGCAGTGACGTCACTCAGCCGGCTGGCCGCCGGCCGAGGGGGCGGGGCGTAGTAGCGCCGCGGTCGCCAGGCTATATAGAGGGCAGACGCTGGCCGGCGGGCAGTAGCCAGTCGGAGCGCCTCCGTGTGGAGTGAGCAGGCACAGAGCGACATTCGCCCAGCGCCGAGTCGTGCCCGCAGCTGCAGCGCCGTCCCATGTGCAAGACGCCTCGCCAGCAGCTCGCCACCGCAGCAAGCATGACGTGTGGGGAGACCGGTCAGGAAGTCAAGCGGTCCCAGTCGTGCCGCAGTCCCAGCAGCTCTGCCGCCGCCCGCCGCAAGATCTCGCTCGTCCACTTCAGCCCGGTGACGCAAACGGAGGTGGAGCGCCAGGTGGACGGCGAGAGCGGCACCGAACGCCTGCGCAACTTCGAGTCCACCAAGCGCGGCGGCATCGTCAACCGCGGCGACAGCTTCCGTCGCGACCGCCGGAAGTCGAGCCTCAACAAGGAGGAGCTGCTGCAAGCCATCATGCATGAAAGGTGAGCCAGGGACGCGGTGACAGCGGTCGGGCGTTGGAGGCCCGCGGAGCGTAAACTCACCGATTAGGCGTTGGTTTCCAGCCTGCGTGATGAAAATCACCTGAATATGAGCCATATTTACATAGGACATTTGCAGTCCAAGATTTACTTGAACCGTGACCATGCCGGTACTTGGCTACGTGGTTACGCCTCCAGGGATACAGCGGAAGTGGTCATTTTCCAGTGCCAGAACTGGGGGTGAAAGCTAGTGCGAGATAGCGTTACAACAGCGGCGGCATGCAACCAAGCTGTTTGGGGGCGTTAAACACGAGCGGTTTTCTGAGGTTCAAGACACCTTGACCTAAAACAGGATCCAGGCGCCGCAACTGATCGCTGAGGGCGATTGTACCGCAGTGAAACGAGTCATGTGAGAGCTGACCACCGAAGGCTTGGTAAAGCGTAACTGATCCTTAGCAACAGCTCAAATCGCCAGATCTTTGCTAAAGTACAGGCACAATTGCGACTATTGCGGCTGTCACCGCCCTCATTCTGTGTGATACTCGGATGTGGGAACTTTTCAAGCCAATGAAGTGGAGCCCGACAGGATTTGAGTCAGTTGATCCCACGCGTCGCCCACAACCCTAACCTTTTCATGTTCCTGACCATGTTCATAAACATGGATGACCCACGCATATCTGCCCATGCAGACATGTGGTCCACAGTGTCTTACATGGTAGGGTATGGCAATCGACATGGTGTCGCGCTGCGAAAAAGTGATTTTAGTTTAAGTGGCCACCGAACAATGACTTACCCCTATCATTATTTATTTAGCATAGCCTCTACTTACAATGGCTATGCCTGCCAAGTATGCGCTACATTCGCCTTACTACTATATGCTTACTACGCCGTGAGAAGTCTCGTGCAGTGAATTGTCGGCTTACTGCGTCAGAGCTGATCGGAATGTGCCGTATATGGACTTGTGGCGACGTGAGCACCGAAACCTTCACTCGTCCCTGCACGCCGAGACACCATCAAGCTCGGCCTCCACAACTCCATTCCTGACCAAGATATGGTCCATGTACGTCACAGGCTGCGTGACAGAGCCGGGGCCCTCCGCTCCTCAAGCGGACTTAGATCTGCGCGGGGAAAACGAAAACAAGATAAGCCGTACTTAGCCAGTCGTCCTGGCGATCTTTCCGCCGCGATGCGGACAAAGCCGAGCCGCGGCGACCAAAGCCGAGCCTTGGCGGACGGAGCCCTTGCTGCTCGCTGGCTTAGCATCCGGATTCTGCCGCAAAGTACGTCACAGCGGCGATAACACATCGCACGAGGCACGGCAGCCGGCTGGGACGAGGTCGCTGGGCACGGGACAGGGCGCATTGTGGAGGACAGTGCGGGCGGAGCGTTGCTCCAGCGTGGCGTCCGGTTTGTTGGCTGCGCAGTTGCGCCGGCGTTCGTCGCCTGGTGAGCCTCTTCACGTGACGTGAGGCACGTCTCCGAGATTAGAGCCGGCCGTGCTGTGACCGATGTGACGTCATGTCGTGGGTCCGCCACCCTCCTGTCAGGGCTAATACAAATGCTGCCAGGCTCAACGGGGGTGGAGAGGGCGATAGCCATTTTGGGCTATTTTGGTTATCCATTTTTTCATTTATTCATTTGGACTATTTTGCTATATTTTGATTGCATCATTATGGTCAACGTTCAGGGAACAAATGTTAGGTTCTCAGGAAGGCGAAGAATGACACTCCAGTTCCCGCGTCCCTTCTGCGATCACCGCCCAGCGGCCGGGTCTGAGTTGCCGGGCGGTGACGTCCGCGGGTCTCTTTCCGGGGCCCCTGCAGCCTTCGGCCGGCGGTGACGGTGCCGGCACATTCCCCGCCGGTTAAATGTCAGCGCCGTCAGACCGGCCCACGCCGAGAGCCGGCAGCGCTGCTACAGCGTGCAGAGCCGAGACGCCGACACCGGCGCCGGCACCAACAGCAGCCGAAGCGCCGGCGCCGCGTCGTCCCCAGCCGGTGGCGGCGGGGCGGTGCGGTGGCGGGGCGGCCGGGGCCGGCGCCGGCACCGGTCCCGAGCCGTCGCCCGAGCCGTCGCCGGAGACGCCGCCCAGGTGGCCACAACGCCACCTGCGACGCGGGCAACACCTGTGCACGCGGGCGCATTGTGCGGCCGGCCGATCAGGCTGTGCGGGGCTTGTCGCGGCGCGGCGCAGCGCCCGCCGTCGGAGACGGCGCTCGCCGCCACTCACACGGCGGCGCCGAAGGTGCCGCGCCTGCGATCGGGCGCGACGACGCGAGGGAGGCGGTGCGCTTGTTACCGGTCGAAGACAGCGATGCTATTATCGGGAGAGACGGGACAGCTCAGTGATCCAATTATATCGGAGAGACTCCATCCCCTCTGCAGTCGTTAGATGCGTTATTGCCTCCCTCCCAGCGACGTAGGTGATGTATTTATGGTATATCACGAGGCAAGATGCCTTCTTACTGGCAGTCCACTCCAAATTTGATCAAAGTCCTCAGAGTGCCGGGGGCCCCGGGAGTGCCAGCGCCAGCCAACCCTAGCCGTCAATGGCCACATATGAGCCCGCTCGACGCCCCGTCCGCCCGCCGCACTCGGCTATATTTAGCCGCCCACCACGCTCAGGCAGCCTGGGTGGGACGTGACCGCCTCCGGGGACTTGAGACCGTCTCTGGGGACCGACGGCAGCGTCTCAGTGTGCGCACGTACCTGGGGTCTGGTGGCACCTCTTTTTTGACGATCACATCGTTGTCCCAGTCACGCGAACGCGTAGCGCGTGAACCATCAAACACCAACCGTGGACGAGGTCCACGCCTTTTCCGTCCGTATCTCCTCCCGGTGTGACGGCCGGTTATCGTTCGCCGAGTCCGTGGTGCTGACCCGCTCTCTCTCCCCTCGGCAGACGGGCGGAGGAGCTGAGCCTGCTGCAGCGGTCCGTGACGCTGCCCAGCATGCCGGACCCGCTGCGGGACGGCGCCAGCGAGGCGCGGCGCGTCCTGCTGCTGGGCGCCGCGGGCGTCGGCAAGACGGCCCTGCGCCGCCAGTTCCAGACTTCCGAGTACACCAACGCCTACGAACTGACCTTAGGTGAGCGCCCCGAGCCGACCAGAAGCGGCGTGTGCGGCTTCCATGGCAGGGATCAGACGGCAGATTTCCTGTGAGGGGTTTCCGACGCCGCCAGACTCAACGCCGAAGTCCTTTTGGCGCGAGAGGACGTCAGAATAAAGGCTGATGACGGGATTGGGACACAAAAATCACGCTCTTGGAAAGCTCCAACACCCCGAATAATGAACCGAACAATGGATCGGTTGACACGGTCGCGTGTCCGATGGAGTGCGACGGCGTCCCCTGTGGATCAGCGCCGGAAACCCGACGCACAGTACGGCCGGTGTGGGCCGAGCTCAGGGCTGTGACCGGGTGGAAAGGATCACTGGAAGAGGCGGGAGTCGAGCTGATTGTTTGACCAGTCTCACATGGTGGCTCCTGAGAGGCGACCCCCGCCTTCACCGCCTTTGTTTGCGCCCCGTAGCGCCAAACATAACGCCGCGTTTGCTGGAAAAAGATGAAATAGTGTTAGCCGACCGAGGCGTAACAGTTGGCCTGTGATCAGAGCGGTACTGTCGCATGTTTTGCCGAGCTGTGAGCGCGAACCGGTCGGCACAGCCCACGGCCGGACTCCTGGAAGAGTGATGGATGCTAGCATTGTCCTGCAAGCTGACAGCGTCCGGGTCTATTTCAGACTACGACGAAGAGTGGCGCATGGTGTCTGTGTGTCTGGACGGCGCTGAAATGGAGCTCACCGTCGAGAAGCAGACCAGCTCGATTTTGGAGGTGAGGAGACGTAATGACCTGGGAGAAAGACAGCCGCAAATGAGTTAGAAACCGTCCTAGTTGTTTTCGATGAGCTTGTGTGTGGGTTTAAGAGATTCTAAGGCGTTAATAAGGCACCGATAATTAGTAACATTGCGTCGACTTGTAGGGATGATCATACTCTGATAGTTACTTCCTCTCATATCGAGTTTGTGCGCGCGTATCGCTGCGGCAGGCTTCCAATGACTGCCGTCGCCTCCGCTTCCGCCCATCGTCCTATCCATTTGTAACGCGTCACCACGCCACCGCCTTCCGTCCGCTCCGTCGCCCTCGACGCCGCGCACGTGCCCTCCACCCCGTCGCCTTCGACGCCGCGCATGTGCCCTCCACCCCGTCGCCCTCGACGCCGCGCACTTGGCGGCGCTCGCCCGGCGCGTGCTCGCTCCGTGCCCGACACGAGGCTGGCCCGTGACTGACCCGCACGCGCCGTCCGCGCAGATGCCGGACGAGGCGACGGTGCGGACGCACGACGCGCTGATTGTGGTGTACAGCGTGACGGATCCAGCGTCGTTCAGCGCCGCCCGCGGCCTCTGCAACCTCATCCGCGGCTTCAACGCGCGCCGGCCCGTCATCCTGGTGGCCAACAAGAGCGACCTGGTCAGGCTGCGGAAGGTCAGCGCCAAAGGTACGTGTTGTTGGGTAGGGGCGGGGTAGAAGGCGTCTGTGCGGTATGTGCTGGTGTGATGCAGTCTTTTTGCGCTCGTGCGTACTCGGGAGCTAGTGTGTGAGTTAAGAAAATGAGAGCGTTTGCAACGTCAATGCTCAGTTGGTAAAGGTATGTACATACATATATATATATATATATATATATATATATATATATATATATATTATTGGTGTATGTGGCGCACGCATCATTTGTGGTTACCTGTTGAATGTTCAATTCAGTGGTATGCTGCTGGGAGCACCAGTTATCGGCATGACGAGATCTGTAGTTGATTGGCAATTAATGGAGCTTTTCCGCCTTTACAGAAGGCAGGTCACTGGCTGTCCAGTTTGGCTTCAAGTACATCGAGACATCGGTGGTCATCAACTCCAATATCGACGAACTCCTAGCGGGCATCGTCGCTCAGATTCGGTTTTACCACCAGTTCGAAGACCCCAACAACGCCGTTGAGCTCGCGAAGAGCGAACGTCGTCAGCAGAGGAGAGACAAGCGCATCAAGTCGCGTACGCTGCCGTCCACCATCGTCAAGGAAATCTTTCACAAGGTCATCGGCCAGAAAGAGTCGAAATCCTGCCAGAATTTGCTGACGGTGTAGGCTAAGACTGGATCTGCGCGTATAACTTCATTTACATGAGAAGTCACCCATTCATTGGTGAATGAAGTCATGGTGCTGATACATCGTCACATCCGTTGTGTGTGTTTATATGCCAAATGTATTTATAGGAAACCATGACCTTGTACCTACGCCAAAGTTGTGACCTGTGTGCGTATGTATTTATGAGCGTCAATTCGTGGATAAAAAATACTACTGAAGGCGAGTGAATATTTAAAAAATACCCTTTGTTTACGAGTGTAAGATTGTGAGTGTCAGATTGTCGATATCATTCTGAATTCATGTGTCCCTAGAACATACGTGTAGATTAAGAAGGATTTAATGACCTGCGCCCGTTTTATGTGGGTGGAAATATACATATGAAGTTTGAGAATTGCGCGTTACTTCGAGCGTATACACGCATTATTACGTCCATATTTAAAGGACGGTAGATGGCTTTGTTTCTCCCCGTATATTTTTTGGCGTGTGGTGACGAGGAAGAAAGCACCTCGGTGACATGAACCCATTAGACGTTCATCCCAGAGTAACACTGGCAGCGGCACTACAAGGACAGTACATCGCAAATGTCAAAGAAAACACGAAATTAATTGCGTGATAATTCAACTGTATGCCAATGTATACAGTCGTTTGCGTACACCTGCTGCACTACTGGAGGACGCCAGCCAAAACACGCAATGTGCTATCTGCCATCATCAAAGGCAGGGAAGAACGCGAGTGCTGAAGAGCCAATGGCTTCCACGGGAAGACATGACGTGAAGGCGACGAATCCAGCGCGACGACAGAATGTTCGGCAATGTATCCGTGGTCTATAAGAGAAACCCTGGCATATTGCATGTGGGCATTGCGTTTTTTTTTTACTGCTTGTATTGGCCGGTATACATTTTTTATCTACTGTACGCATTACACTGAAAACGCGGTCCATCTGATAGAAAAAAAAGCCTTCAATGTGGTTTATTAACAACGGTTTGTCGCCAACACATATTCATTTCTTTGCACACAAATGAGCACCCGCTGCTTGCTTTTCTGCATAGGTTCGGTCTCAACAACGGGAACCTCTAAGGAGCCGGTCCAGTCACATGTCCCGCACTTAAACCACAAACCTCCGTCGGGCGAGCTTTCGACCTATATATGGTTATAGGTGATGACTGATTTTAAGAATGGTTATGAACCTCAAGACTTTAATCACAGTATTTTGTATTCACAACTTCAATTTGATAGGAATTGGGCGGAACACAAATCGGTCCAGTTTTACGTATTGTAGAAGAAGCAGATAATTGAAACTAAACAAACGGTTATCTAACCCAACAATTTCCGAAGAATTAAATATTTATACTTATGTGCTTATCTTTCGCGGTATTGCTGCTGTGGAACGCCAGAATAAAAGCATCACTATTATGTGCTCGCATCCCATGGTACCCACGCTTGACCAAAAGTTTTCAGAATCATTGCAGTGTTAGACAAAAACTCCTGCCAAGAAGTGAGGCTTTATGCTAGCCGGGACGGCACACCGCAAACACGCTATTTGAGGGGACCAACCCCTTTAACCCCATCATCTCGCTTTGAGGCCACATTGACTTCATGCGATTTTGCGGCTGTATTACAAACCGTCACAGGTAATAGGATTAGTGGTTTCTCTGTACACCAGCTCCACACAACTTGCGAGAAATTGCGCTCCCTGCATCATCTAGGGGCGACGACAGGTGTGGTTTTAGGAGAAATCGCAGAACTTTCAGAACGAACGTGACCTGAGCAGTCGGTTTTCTCTAATCCGCCCATAGTTGACCAGCGTAAGTAAGGGATTCGAACCCAGGACCGACAGGCCCGGAGCCAAGCGTCCTAACCACTTTACCGCCATCGCCCGACTAACAATTTTGGGGACGGGGAGTGGTGGGGTTCTTTATATGAGATAGTAGTTTACTTACGTTGGCCGCACGCGAAGGCACATTCAGCATCTGGCGATCATTCATTCCGTCACGGCGCGATATCGCCACATCACGAGCAATTGAAACAACTAGGCGACTTGTGCAATTTCCGGAAACAAATTTACCTCGGAAGCGACATGTGACGTCATCAGTGGGATGCATTCCAACAAGCTGACGTACGAAGGAGTCGTATGACTCGGACTTTTGCTGCGTTTTTGAATCACCCCGATCGGTTGATTGGTTTTGGCGATATTATGTGGAGGCTTTAAATGACGCTCTAGCAAATGTACGGCCCCTTGGCTACCACACAAGAGTAAGTCTTGCATACTTTTGTCAAGAGGTTTCAAAAACTCTCATATCTGTTGGCATCGAATAATAGCACGAGCCAATGTTGTAACGGTACGGTTCGATGCTGATGAAATCTTTTTGGGGAAGGTTTGCGTAAATACTATCAATTTAAAGAACTTCACATAGGATGCGATTTCAAACTTGTGGGTTACAGACAAAAATATTGATCTTCACACACGTCATTTCACGTCAAACAAACGTTAACAACCACATATTTACCCTGATTAAAAATGGGTTCTCGACCCGGTGCGGCAAAATGCCGCGCTTTGGATATTGTACCGCAGTATTGTTGCATCCAGCGCGACGCACAGCGCGACACATGGGATATCCCTGCGGCGACTTTGGATATTGTGCCGCAGTATTGTTACACCCAGCGCAGCACACAACGCGACACATGGGATATCCCTGCTGCGACTTTGGATATTGTGCCGCAGTATTGTTACACCCAGCGCAGCACACAGCGCGACACATGGGATATCCCTGCTGTGACTTCGGATATTGTGCCGCTGTATTGTTACACCCAGCGCAGCACACAGCGCGACATATCGGATATCCCTGCTGCGAAACTCGACTTGCAGGCCGGACAAAGCTTACTTCAAGCATTTCATCTGAAGTCTTGTAAAATTAAAGACCCAATACCCCATCCCCGCTCATTTCCCCATAGACACTTATATCATTTTTCCACTGTTGTACTGATCGGGGATCTGAACGTCTACCATGGAGTAGTCTCATGGATACGCCACACGCCAGTGTGGTATCTGTGAGTAATCTGGTCAGTCAGCTGCCTCACGTGCGATTTAGTTAGGCCACCACACTGAAAAAGACCAACCAAAACCTGATGAGCTAAGTCACGTGACAAACATAAGCCGTATGCCCTGAGATCTTGTCGCCTTGCTAACCCCAAGCTGGTAAGTACTTTCTTTGTCAACTAAAGCATAACAGCCCTCCAGCAAATTAAACACAAAACCAAAAGAAGCCATCGTCAGTAAAACCAATTTGTCAGGAGGTGCATCGGCCTAGCCAGAAAACATGACTGGCCCGGGTAGGTGACATGACCAGCCGGGAAATGAGGATGTTCGACATTCCTCACACCGAGGTGTGGACTTAAATAACCACTCTTGGAGGCGATGCAATAAAGCCAGGACGCATTTAGACGAGACGTGGTCGTTGTGGGCTGGCGACGTTAACAAGCATTGTGCCACGTTATTACATGTGTTTCGGCCCACACGCGCGCTTTAACAGCTCTTCGGAAATGAGACGAGTGATCACTGGTGAATAGAAATAAAGGGATCGCTTAACCGAACGCATGGCGTGCGATGGTGCAACCGAGGCTCACTACGTTCACCGTCATATTATTTTGTGGGACGTTTTTTAACTAAGAAGATTCTAACACTTTCATTTCTTCGCTCTATAAACGGTTAGCACCATGTCGCGGAGTTTCACAAAGGCGAAAAAATTGGCTCACATCATCACACCAGTGGCAGGGTCTATTTACGATAACACTCGCATCACTCATCCAGACTTTGCACCATATCTTGATTGTTTTGTTGAAATTCCCGTTCGGTTTATAGCATTCCGGGCCAACAATAATTTCAGCCTAAAAGCGGCCGGTATCATTGGTGAAGTCATAAACGGACGAGTCACCCGACCCGCACGTCTGTCAGCTCAAAAACGAGTTGCTTGGCATGTTACCCAGACATGCTGTTTTACTGGCGTCAGTTTCCGCGCCATACAAATTCCGGCTTTTGGTGGCAACGAGCTGTAATCTTCTTTTTGGGCGGATTGGTGTTGTCAGGCCTGTTACCATGTAGTCCTAAAATTGTCAATGAGCATGGTAAGCACTTTCAAATAATAGTGCATATATGGTCTGCCTGATGTCGGGGTTCATTGTGCAGAATTTATGATCACGAACGGAGCCGGCCGAATAATATTTTATGTTCGTGAAAACGTTTTATGCGCGTCTGCTTCAAATAATTAAAGCTCAAATATAGTGTTTTGAGCATAAGTGGAGTAATTATAAGGAATATCAAACAGCCCGTGTTATTTGTTTTTCCGCGAGGAGGTAACAATATAGAGAAATAAGTGAATTGGTGGCGTGGCTTGAACAGAGAGATAGTGTGCAATATTTGCTTGCTACTCGGTGCGCCGATTCGATGTTATTTGCATGTGATGTTGGAATGGCGCTTTAGGCATGATTATTGGTAAGTGTCCGATTTCGCAGACCTAATAAGGCAGATTAGATATCTTTTGCTCAAATATATGCTCAGTAATGAGGCCAGAGTCATTATGTTTCACTCTGCGGCTTTCCAGGACGAATTAGCAAACGCAGAACAAGAAAAGAATGCTCCTGCGATCACTTTATTGGTAAACGTCTGATTTCGCAGACCTAAAGTGACCGCAGGAGCATCCTTTCCTTGTTCTGCGTTCGCTAATTCGTCCTGGAAAGTCGCAGAGTGAAACATAATGACTCTGTTCCTCGGCCTAATTACTACGACATGAACATAAGATATCCAATCTGCCTTGCTGTCGAGCCTCCTTACAGCAATCCTTTGCTGAAGGCATCATGCTTTTCCACAGGTTTCGCCGCTGACGACGGGACACGTTTTCTGTTCCCATATTCCGTCTCGTAACGATGAATATTCTATTCGACTCAACGACCACTGTCCTCTGAGAGCTCCCACCAAAATAGATTCGGAGCCTTCTGATTAAGAATGCTTTGCGTGGCAAGCATCCACATTTTTTAGACAGCAAGGCCGACCGGAGCTAGCCCGGCTCATCCGGTCTGTGCGAAATGATCACCTCCTCCATGTCAAACATGTTCCCACCCCGGCAAATACCTGCAAGTCATAACAACCGGTCGTAGACACGATGGCCCTGATAGCTTTGCGATAGCCCTGCGGCTGGCTGCCATTCCGGCCTGTTACACCCCATGTCCGGGCGGCCGGATCTCGCGCCGGGCCGTCGCCACCCACGTGCTTGCTTTGAACTACCCGGTTCCGGAAATGAGGGAACCGGGAGCGCGGGGGCACGGAACTTACATCACGACCCACGCGGTGTGGGTCGGCGGAGCGAGCGCGCGGGCTGGGCCGGCCCATGCGCTGGC